AATCTAATTGCCAAATCCTGGTGGTGAAGAGTCATCATGCACTACATCTTAGTTTGGGGCCACTGTAGAGTCTTAGGTTTTTTTCGATGTCAGGAAAGTGAAAAATGTGCAATGCCCTCGCCGGAATTCGAACCTGAACCTCTCGAATACGCGCCGCGCCGACTGTGCTACCGTTACACCACGAAGGCATGCAAAAAGGTGGGAGAAAGTAAATATTTCAAAATTTTATTTATTTTTGGTGAAAATAATGAACATTATTTCCCAAATTTGAAGAAGGAAAACTTGCAATAGATAAACATATATCATATCTTTTGATAATATCATTTCAGAAGGAATTTCTTGTCATTAATTTGTCATGTCAGATTCCTTGTTATGAAGGCTTAAATTTTATGTTCATTTTAATACGTAAAAAACGTCAGTTTTGTTCCTACACGAATGTACTCTACCAAAACATTTGTTAACCTTTGTAATTTTTAGAAATTAGAAATTAAATACAAGTGTTTAAAAAAAAGGAGCAGACTTTACTCGCTTGAAGGTTATTGTTTCATGCTAATGATCCGTACATTAAACTAATTGAAGAAGGAAGAGAAACTATGTTCCAGTGTTCCGTCATGTTCAGTAAATCATCTGACCATAACTACAGTAGGCACTGCTTAATATGATTACGTTATGGGGTCTTGATTTGGAACTGGTAATTAGTCCAATAATACCAACAGACGTAAAGAGAATTACCGGTATGTCTGGAATAATTACAGTCGCAGAAAGGTTTTAATAACCTCTCTTATTAAACAATGTTTTACTCAAGCATTTGTTATAATCTAAAATGATTAATAATTAGTTAACGATCACAAATTTGGGATGCAATATTCAAATTCGAAACCTGCGAAATTTAATGAAAATTCGAGATTTTAAAACTCGAATTTTTACGCTTTTTTTTCCAAAATTTAAATTATTTGAATCTTTACCTAAAAAATCTGATATAGACACCCTATAACTTCCTTGTACGGCCTATTCAATAATACACATGTTTCTGCACTTCATTTTTACTTATTTCCTCGAATTTAATTACAGACAAATTTCTCATTCAATTAATTTAGTTTTCAGTCCGCGGCAGGCAAAAATATATAAAAACTCAAAACATCTTCATTAAAAGTTGCAAAATACAGAACAACCTAAAAACCAAATACAGTTAAAAACATTTAATAAAATTTTTGCAATTAAAATTAGAGTTTCTGCTCGAAAACAAGCAATTTGGCCATTGGGCAGGAAGATAAAATTTTCGGTACACAAAACTGAAAGTTAACTTTTGATCCCACTTGAAAAAAAGGACTCTGAATTTGGTTCACCGAATGATTGAATTCGCTCTTCTACTGTTTCAAATGTAAACAAGTGGCGGCTTTATTACGCTTAGAGCCATTTATACTTTTAAATTGTTAATAATTCTACAATTATTGCATGTAGATTAACTAATGGCATAAAAACCTTAATCGGAACATAAAAACAACGTAGTTCAATCACTTCTAAAGCAAAAAAAAGCTCAATTTGCCAACATAAAAGAATAAAAAAAATTAAGCTCGCCTAGCTGGGTAGCACAGTGGATCTATATATATGTTCGGCACGGCCGGATTTGCAACGAAAAGGGATAGCGCATAACTACACGTTGTAGCAGTCCCATGCGCAAAATTTAAACATTCTGCGGCTACTCGTTTTTGAGTTATGCAAGATACACACATACGTATGTGCATACTTACAGACGTTACGAAAAATTCGCTTTTGAATCTATTTTAAAATCCGTTTTGAAAAAAAAAAAAAAAAAAAAAAAAAAAAGACTCCTTTATTCTGTCCTTATATATACAGATGTCATGCAAAAACAAATGAATTCGAGAGAGGTCAAATTGGATATTTTCGTTGAAATATGATACCCATTATTTTTCGCGATTACAATACGTCCTTTACTTAGTGCAAGAGCACTAAGTAAGTATCCACATATTATTTAAGTTTTCGAGGGACATATGCAAATTTTTCCGGTACACATTACAAAACATTTTATTTTCTAAACTCCCTTTCTAAAAAAATGAATTGTTTTTATATCAGGAAAGCACCAATATAAAAATACGGATTTCATTTCCCCGTTTTCAGAAATACAAAAATTCAAAATTCTTTTGAATAATGTGATTTATTTTCTTTATGGCCTTTTAAGGATGGACGTGATTAAAATGTTCTCAAACTCAAATTGCAGGTTGAATGCTTGATTTGAAAGCAATTTACGGCCCAGAACAATTTTCAATAAAATTTTAAAACATATTTAACAAAAAAGAATTAATTAAATTTTAAATTTCACTTACTGAATATTTATCAAAACATAGAAAAAACTTACTTATGTAATAATAATAATAACACAAAGGGAAAAAAGTCAAATTTATACTTTTTTCCTAGCTTAAGGCTAAAAGTTGGAACTTGAAAGAATTTTCTGTTGTTTCGCAACTGAAACGTATTGACAGATACATACTAAATTTTAACTACATTAACTTTAAGTAATTGCATTATGTTGAATTAGCCACTAAATATCTTACTTTCGATCTTAAAATAAAATTGCCAGTTGCCGACTGGTAAAACAAATTTTCTGACTTACATAGTTAGTATTCTTAACTCTCGCACTTTACCCATATGACCTGGCGTACAAGCATACAGTGACAAGGACAAAACCTTAATCTACTCATTCTATGGTTTTTCTTTTAACAGCATCGGTCACGTAAGCTCAATCCATATCTTCACGTCTTTTAAGAATATAAGCACCGTACTTGCAACAAATACATAATGAAAATATAGTCATAGACCGCATACAATTGTCGGACCGCATACAATCGGAGACCGCATGAGGCCCGCCGACCGCGAGTTTGAGACCACTCATTTAAGTTAAGTCGTTTTGATAACGTTAAGTACCGCTTTCCGTCTTGCATATAACGGAATCAGATTTTTTAGATGACTTTAGTGGGATGACGAATGATTTGCTAATTTTAAACTTTTTTGTGTATGTTGGGAGGAAGGCATTAAAATTAAAATTTTGTATTTTGTAACTGAATAATCACACTTCGTTGAAAGTATAGGAATCTGAAAGTCTATCTTATTTGTTTCATTTCTTAAACTGAAATCAGGGACCTAGAACTCACTCTTGGAGAGAACTACATTTATGGAATATTTTCGAAACACCAAATGCACTGACTAAATTAAAACTCCACGTAATTTAATTACGTTATATTTTTTCTCAATGAATCACACAGTGAGGCGTTTTCGTGACTTTTCACATATATTCGTGCGCAATAATAATAAAATTTGCACATCATGTAGAATTTCTGAAAAATTAATGAACAGATTTTAATGAAATTTGGTATAAATATACTTTTATAACAGAGAAAGATATCTACCATTCAAAAGTGCATGATTTGTGTGCGCATGATTATCAGTAAAGCTCATAGCACAGGAATGTTCAAAAACCATTTTCTTATATCGAACTGAAAATGGATTTTCTATGAGATATGGTGCCCTCTCACAGCCAGAGTTGTCGCGCAGCGTGCCGGCATACTGGACAGGAGGCAGTTGAGGCGTCTTTGCAACAGTTGATCCCACTCCTGCAGTAAGGCAGTTTTCAACTCCGAGATGGTTCTCGGAAGGCGATGGAAAGATGAAATTGCCCTCCCAAAAGCGTTCGTTAGTATGCTATGTAGGGTTAATGTCAGGCGATCTGGCTAGCTAGTCCATGCGGCGAATGTCTTCATTTTCCAGGTAATCTTTGACCAGCGAAGCCCCAAGAAGACAAGCATTGTCAGGACGAGCATTGTCCATTAATAGGAGCCCAGGACCAACTGAGCTCATGGAAAGTCGAACATAGGGCCCTCTATATATCATAGCAGTCATCCTTTTTCAAACCATAAACCTTTCACAAAACTTTGTCAAACACATGCAGGAATGTGCGGCAGTCTGCCATAATGTCTGCCCTAAGCATTACAACTCCACCACTGTAATTTTCCTTTTCCTTTGCGAGGATGGGATTGTATCGTGTTCCAGGTGTGAAGCTGAACAATCACGTGTCTTCGCGCTGAAAGTGCCAAATAATGATACTCATTCATCGTTGTAGATCTTGATCGACCTTGTCCAGGTCTTCTTGATATGGATCCAGTGTCATGAAACTGTTTCCACACATTGCACTGGGTGCTATAGTGAGCTCTATAGGCACCCACGTTTGTGATTAGTCTACCTCTAAACTACCGACGGTTCTCTATATCATTTATTTATTCATACATTCGTGGCTATGTATTTTACCGGATACTTTATAAAATTTACGGAACTTTTGCGAGAAACATGGCAAATGTCTTGAAGAAGTAAGAGCGCACAAATCGCTGAAAATACTTCATGCAGTTATACCCCTAACATAATCGCAAACTCCTACGTATAGGCTTACGTATTCGACTCTGAATACTTGCATAATTCTTTGGCGGGATAAGCAGAACCTCTTCAATACTTTTAGCACTAACGTAAACGCTTTTTAAGCACTACTCATTAGCTGCAGGACACCGTCAAATATTTAATAATACATTTGTTATAAGTATTGAAGTACAAGTATTGAAAAAAGACAAGTGTACTTTAATGAATCTAAAATGTACAATAAGATTTCAAATGTTAAAAATACGCATAGTTATAAAATATTCTCAACCTAAAGGCGACTGAATAGATGTTGGCTACTATTTTGTACAAATTTGACATCTGAACGTTGTATTATCTGGTTGTCTTTATAAAATTCAGCTTTTAACGATCTTTCAATTATTAAAAAATACTTAATTATTTTAAGCACTTTTTAGTGACAAGGGGTGAACATATTTGTAGCTAAAATCTGATTTACAGTTGTGCCTCGAGGGATATTTGGAGTATCTTAATCAAAAAAGAAACATTAAAATCCAGGAAGGAGAGCATCAATAGCATCAGACGTTGGGCCGGTGCCAAGTTGATAAGCTGCCAAGGCTACTGACGTTAAGGATTGCCTATGTGTTGCGTAACGTAGCCAACTGTGATGATGTGCTATCCGAAGTTCGGTTAAACATTAATCTCATTCTGCGAAACTTTCTGCATTCATGTATTGGTTTCTCGTCTGAAAGGGAAACGAAAATGTCGATATATGAATTCACGTGGACTATTGAAAATTTCAGCATGTGTCATCATTCAACTGGACTCAGTCTTCGAAGCCCGACTTTTATATTGAGTGCTTTACCTGGAATGGTGTGGTCTCTGAATATATATCCACGGGGTGAAAAAAGTAAAGAATGCATAGATGTACTTATCATGAGATGTGATGATCTTCCTCGAAAATGTGAAATAGTATACTCAGTTTGCACCATGGATAAAGATGGGAACACTATACAAAAACAAGAAAACGAGCAACGTACATTTGCAGCCGGAGAAGGATGGGGATGTAGTAGTTTTTTCGAAAGAAAACGGCATCTTAATGACAAAGATAATCTTGTCATAAACTGTAATTTATGTCTTCTTCAAGTGTGTGACGAAAGTGACCAAAAGCGCTTACATCATGATTTCATACGCTTTTACGACAGTGGGTTATTCACTGATATCACTTTGCGTACCAGTGATACAAGTTTCAAAGTGCATAAATGTCTTTTGAGCATACGATGGCCCGCATTGTTTGAAAAGCTAGAAAAAAAGAAAGCCGATGAGGAATCTTTTGATGTCAGCACATCTGTATTGGAGACAATGATAAATTACATTTATTCTGGGAATCTAGACTGCCAAAATTCTCAGTTAAGAGCAGAAGTATTTGCAGCTGCAATAAAATATGACCTCACAAATCTCGGATGTAATTTGTGTTTACCTGTTACGAATTTCAAAGCTCGGACACGCATCAATGCAGAAGAAATGTTCTTTGATTGGAAAATTCCCGCCTTAACCACAATACCCAATAATGCATCCATACACAGTGATGTTTTTTCAGTAGATTTACTGAAGTTTCATGGCTGGAAAATAATTTTCCGCTTGCGATCACTTTCGTATGGGAAAAAGCCTTTTGATATTTTCCTTTGTAAAGTGTATGGTGGTAACGTGAAGCCTATTTTTGTAAAAAGTAGAATATTTCGCAATTTATATTTTGACATTCAGAGTGAACATCTGTTTCAAGCAGATGAAGAATGGAAATGTGCTGATGCTAGTGATGAAGATTTGAATGACTGTCTAGTTCTTCACTGTCACTTCACTTTTACAGATCTGGGTGAGATTTCAGAGATCACAAGAAGGAGTTGCGTTACAACATCGTCCAGCTCTGATTGTAATCAATCTTTCAAAACTAATCTTAAGTTTTTCGATTATGTCAGTGATAATCTTCGCCAACTTTATAAAACGAGAAAGCTGTCAGATGTTAAAATTGTGGCTGGTTCCGAAACATTTCTTGTTCACAAAATTGTTCTGTCTGCAAGATCACCGGTATTCTCCAAAATGTTCGAAAACGAAATGGTTGAAGCCAAAAGCAACACAATTAATATTCAAGACACGGAACCTTCAATTCTAAACACGATGCTTTGTTATATGTATACCGCTGATTTGGATCAACCGCTGAAGGAATGTGCTCTTTCTTTGTATGAAGCGGCGGATAAGTACGATATTCCTACTTTAAAGGAAAAGTGTGCTTCGTTTTTAAAATCAAATATTTCGGTAAAAAATGTGTGTGAAGTGCTTTTATTGGCAGACATGCATGAAGATAAGAAATTATTCGAGAAAGTGAGTGATTTTATAGCTGCTCACGCCGAGGAGGTTTTCACTACCAACGAATGGCCAAGTTTTGTGGATGCAAGACCAAAAACAGCAGCAAAAATTTTGCAGGAGATTGTTGTTGTGTTACGTAACGATTCTGAGAAGAAATCAAAGAAATAGTTTTGTAAATTTAAACAAATAATTTTATATTTGTACACTGATATTTTTCCTTATATTTTGATTCAGCTCTAGTGTGTATTGCATCGAATCCACTACAGTAAATGCTGAATTTTTATTATCATTATTATTGTCATAAAAACGAATGTTTGTTTAATATGTTTGCTTTTTCAGCAGCCTTTTTATTTAATTACTGAAATACAAATCAGAATCTAATTATATCGTATATTACGTAAATTTGCGTATTTTGTTTAAATCATGTAGTAAAAAGAAAAATGTATTCGTAGTTTTTTGCTAAATACTGATAGTTCTCGGCAGTGAACTGAGAAAATATTTGCTCTATTAAATTTCAAATATCCAAAATATTAAGTATTGCTGACTTTTAAGACATTGATTATGCATACTGTATTGCAATTTAAAAGTTAAAAAGTTTTTAAAAATTGAAATTTAGGAAATTGTTTGCTAGACTTCTTATATTTCTTAATTTTCTGTATTTTGGTCCATTTATATACAGTTTTGAAAGTGTTAAAAAGTACTTGAATTGATAATGCGTATTATTTTTAAGTGCTAATAATAAAAATGTGTAATATTTCAGTTTAATTGGGTATAATGTATAAGCTAAACTGTGATAAAATGCAGTCGCCAATGTGCATATTTGGAGTTAACGGTGTACAATACATTCTGACATTGGAACAATATGTAGTATCGAATTTGATTTTGACACCTTATCAATTATGTTTTATTAATTCGCTTTATTTTATTTTATTAATTAGGAGATAATTTATTAGAATCCTACGTTTGTTTATTTTGTCTATTAGTTTATTAGAATATTACGTTTGTTTATTTTGTCTATTAGTTTATTAGAATCCTACATTTGTTACGTACACTTTGCAAAATATCAAAAGTACTTATATATCTGTGAAACAGTACTGCTTATTATGTCTAAATGCTTATAAAAATTGTATAATATTAATGCTGAACTGCATATTATTTGTAAGCTAATTTTCATTCGTAATAAAATGTTGTTGCCAGTGGGCATATTTGGAGTTACAGTACATATATAGTTCATCAAACAAAACAAATATTATGTGGTCTTGAATCTAGAACGAATATTATGTAGTATCATTGAATTAGATTTAATTAATTTGCGTAACTCATCTCACTGATTTTTTTCCCTTCAAAACATTTTGCTTCTCCTTGAATAGAAGGATTTTGTGATTCATCTTGACAAAACAACAATACAATCATTTGTTTCATACTCTTTTTAAATGAAACGCATATTAGTTATGCAGAAATGTATGGTAAAATCCTAGTATACCATACGGCTTTGGCGAGGATTTGAAAATTGTCGCCAACACTAAAATGACTCGTTTACAGCTCATTATAAACACCGCGTTTACTGCTCATCATAATGTCGCCAAAAGTTGCCATATCCTGTGTGTACGGTATACTAGGATTAAACGAATATACTTTTGAGCGTATAAGTACAGCCAAATATGTAGAGCGAATGCATAATTGTTCTCATGTAATAAAAATTTCTCGTGATTTTAAGCTCGGATAAGTAACTAATTAAGAGTTTGGAATATTTATTACATTTTAGAATATTTATTACATTTTGCAATATTTACATGATTTACTTTTTTAATACATTTCATTCATTTAAAAAGAAAGTCATAAAAGATGTGTATATGCCCGAAAGTCATTTGACATTTTTCTTACCTTAGGAAATATAAAACAAATTAAAAGGGAAAGAATACATATAATAAATAAATAGGAGAAGAGAATGGAAGAAGAGTAGTGTATTTGAATAACTCAAAGTGATATTTCGATTTCCTTTTACTGTGCAGTATAGGAATATAATCATTAACGCCATATGGCCGATAGACCCGAGAGCTCTTGTATTGAACTGATAATACTGGCTGCAGTTAAATATATTATTATAGTAATATTATTAGCATTTTACCGTAAGTTCGTTTATCAAAAAGTGTTTTTAACGCGTTGTGATTATATATTCTAATCAGGCACTTTTAATATCTATTCTGACATTCATGACAAAATATAATAACTGCTTTTATAATTAATATATGTAATGATGGTAGAATACATATTCTGGCCTATACTCTATGCACTTAACTAATGGAACTTTCTTTTATTTGTACTACATGGAGTTTTCATGACGAAGTAAAAACTTGGTAGTATCAATTTCATTCCAGTTGCATCACTCATTTGGTAGTGCTGTTCTGTTTTGTGTGTTTTGTTTTAAATGTGTAGAGTCATTAGGTTATTTTTGAAGCTGGAGATTTGGGGGGGGGAATGAGCAATGCCATCACTAGGACACGAACATGGTGCTTTAGAATACGGGCAGAGTGTGCTACTATCGCAGCACGACAGCATGCTGAAAGGAGGGAGGTAAAATTTACAATTCGGTGCCCCTTGTTTCTTGGCGATTCTTTTTTGACGACAAGATCGGCGACAGAAAGGCACAATTTCAAGATGGCCGCTACACAAAACAAAAATAAGAAGTTAAACAATTGCACAAACTCTGTGTCCATGTACACATCGATCTGTTTTCAGTTTAAAAAAAAGTCTTAGAATTGCACAAACTAGCCATTGCGCACTGCCTCAAATTTTCCCATGTACACATCAATCTATTTTCATTTAAATAAAATCGGGAAGCTAAAACAAAGTTAAAACTATCATGGTAACCAGAAGTGAGGTTTCATCGAAAAAATTAAAAAGAAATTGCCGCTAATCGAAGGGGCACCCAATTCTACACTAGAGCCTAACATTTTAATGGAAGAGATAGGAATCCAAAATATTCATTTCCGATAGCTTTTACATGACTTTGAAGTTTTTGTGACGAATTTATTTTGCTCTCAGCATGAGTAAAAATGTAATGCAATGGCTAAGGAGCAAGTTATATGTCAAATATACCGGTTCTAACTATAAATGAAGAGTTAAAGAATGGCAAGTTAAGCATAGAGACAATTTGGGAACTCTATTAGTTTTGCACACGAATAAATATGTAGCGCGAATACTAGTTAGTATCCATTAGATAGTCCTCCTCGAAATCAAAGGGGAATCTTTTTTACTTACTTACATTTCAGAAATGTGGAAATTCGGTGGGCGCCGTCGCAGTGATGAAATATCTCTTCACATTACACGTTTTAGCACTCGCTGCAGTTAAATTGCATAATAAGCGTGTATAGGTTTTTTATAATAAATTTTAAAAAAATATTCTTCTCACTCAGAATTAAAATGATGTATTTTATGCTTCGTAATTTTTTTTTAGTCCAAAAGAGCTTTGTCCCTGAAGGACTATTGTTTTCGTTTTGCGATTTTGCGTCGATTCACTGCAAACGGCGAATGAATTTTCAAACTGTTGCCAAAAAATATTATTGCCCTGTGTTATATTTAAAGAAATAATGAAAAATATGCATAAATGTATGTATATTTCTCGCATTGTGATAAAACAACGGTACATAGAGCCATCGAATTTTGAATGACGTAATCTTCCTACGAATATGGCCATGTGGAAGACCAAATTTGAAACTTGGAATTGGTTTTATTATCGATTTCCTATTTTGTAAAACCTTAATGAATTTTTGATTAACAAACTCAAGGATTTCAAAGCGAGCAATGGCAACGTTGTACAGAAAATTATTTTTATCTCCAGCGCGTGAGTCTCTGTATCGGAAATTTTAAAGATATGCTCATTAAAAAACGCCTCTTTGGACATAATTTAAAAGCTGAAACATTTCAGATTTTCTTAAATTTTGATTTGATTATAAAAGTTTTCCATATACTGTATTTATTTATTTATTTGTGGCAGTACACTGCATACAACTCGAGATTCACATTCATGAACAGACAAGTATATGTAAGAACAATGGTTGCGGGCGTAAAAGGTCGCAAGCTGTGGTTAGAGAGTATACGAGAAATAATGGGAATAGAAAATGGGAGCAGTTGTTTTTAGCGGTTTATATATTTAAGTTTATATGCGGAAATTGTAGTTTTTAGCAATCAAAATTTGATTTATTTACTCCTGTAGTTTATCTAGATATCAAAAAGACTTGATTTTTGTCAAGCTTTTAAATGTGCAGTTCTTTCACAGCTGTAAAAATGGCAAAGATAAAATAATAAGTTTTATTAAAATTTTTCATTATAATTACGAGCGTGTGTACTCCAAATATCTAAAATTTAGATTTGAGAAATTAAATTTGAACGAAGAACACTTAAAAATTGCTTTGCGGCCGTCGCTTTACCCATCCCTGTTTTAGACCAATAACCGTAATGTGCAGAACCACAATGAAATAAATCAAAATCCATGGGTAACATAAATACGAAATAGTTTAAAATCTCCAGGAAGAAATCCCATCCTTTAACAAATTGTCCTTGCATGTTTTCCTTTAACTAATCAGCCAATCTAAATGGTCTTTTTGGATCAATGTACAGTACAGGGCGTGAATAATAAATTTTAATTACGCCAGGAGCGAATTTCTGATTTGGTTTATGTGATTGCGGAAAAGCCTCAAGGGCCATCTACCTAAGGGAAGGGATGCCTTCGTGGAGGACTCTCTGAAGAAAACTGTCTCGTATACACGTTACACATGCGGAAATCGACGAAAACGCCCATGCAGCCAGCCCGTTCGCCGGATTCGAATCTCATATCGAACTACCAGTGTTCAGACACTTTACCACTCGGCTACTAGTGGGCCACGAATTCCTGGCAAATCAATCATCTACATTAAAGGAAAAAAAAAACACGAGCGTTTTCTTCACCCTCGATTTTCTGAAACGCATTTTCTTTGGATTTGGCGAGTTTTGGCCAACCCACTCTCGTAGGCGAAGCATCACGATTCATCATCTGTGATGAGGGCTCACCAGCGGCCGAGCGGTAAAGTCGCTGAACACTGGTAGTTCGGTCCGAGGTTCGAATCCCGCGAACGGGCTGGCTGCATGGGCGTTTTCGTGGTTTTCCCCATGTGTAACGTGTATACGAGCCAGTTTCCCTTAGAAAGTCCTCCACGAAGGCATCCCTCCTCTTAGGCAGATAGCCCTCGAGGCTTTGCCATACTCACAAACACTCATCTGTGATGATATTTTTTAATGTCTGGATCGCGATTTTGCATGTCAAGAAGATCCTGACAAACCGCCACATGATTATCCTTTTGTTCTGTTATTAACGAGTGTGAAATAAAACTCTCCGCGATTGCCTCTTTCGTAAATCTTCAGCAATTATTTATTGTATGGAGAGTTTCTTTATCAATGTTCTGCAAGTATTGTAATTGTTAATCGACTATCTTAATTTAACGCAGCACGGACAACTTCAATGTTCGGGCCAGTTCGGCTTGTGCATTGACGTCCCGTTATTTCATCATCTTTTATGTCATCTCTACCATCTCGAAATCTACGAAACTACAAAAGCAGGTTAGAACGTGGCAAACACTCTTCACGGTAAGCGTTTTGCATCATTTGATAAGATTAGCTAGCAGTTTTTGCCACTTTAAAAAACATTTTCGCACATCTCTGTTAAAATACGATTCCATAATAATATTCAAACGCCAAACACAAATAACCATCAACATAAATAACACCCAAACACCAAACAATAATTTTCTCCTTCATCCTGATGCGATTAGCAGACTAGAATCAAAATGTTTTTTACTACTTACAATATTTGCCAGCGTATAAGATGTCTTAAAATAGGGCTGAAAAACAGGGTCCGCCTGATACTTCGGTACTCAATTTTTGATTAGATTCACTTCAGTTTGTGAATGGGTCAAAGCTTCATGGGATGCTGTGAAAACAGAGACAGTGGTTAAATCATTTAAGAAGTGTGGCATTAGTGATGCACTGGATGGTACAGAGGACAATTTGCTGTATGAGGACTCAGATGCTGAGGTTTCAAGTGACTCTTTATTTAGCTCTGGAGATGAGTGTCTGGGTTTTGACGAAGAAGATTGAAAGGTGTCCTTTCCCAGATAGATTGGGTATTTGAAGAAAGTATTACTTTGTATTTGTATTACTTTATGTTTAAAATACT